CACACACACACACACGTTTGTACATGGATACATCTGAACAATCATATGTGATGCATTTTATTCTGCTTTAATGACCCACACTGTTACCATAGACACACTCCTGCTCTCACAGTGGGCAGAGAACAAACATGGATTCATACGCCGCTGAAAATAGACCCAAACAAAATGCTCTGAAAACACACAAAAACATTTTCTTTTAGCTTTTTCAGTGACAGTTATGAGATTTTCTTTATTTATATGTAAACACTGAACAGCTCTGAACACACACACACACATTTCAAACACACACAGTCACCACCAATCTCTCCCTCTCTCTCTCTCTAAACCTCTTGTTCTTGTTAATCTCTCTCGCCCTCCCCCCATCAGAGGTGATTTCCTGCCTGTTTCACTCTAATGTCATCATGTGGATTTTATTTATGGAGAATTTAGACCAACACACACGCACACTGTGCAACATGACATATATTAAAATCTGCAGGGCGTCGTCTGCTTTATATTTCTAGTTGGCCACGCCCACTCGGCTCATTTAAACTCTTTTTATTTTTATTCTTGCAAACTTCAAAAGCTTCCTTTAATGGCGGTTATTGTAATTTCTTGTATTTAAAAGAAGTTAAAAACCTCCCAAAAAACTTACTGAAGCTTTAAAAAATAAAAAAGTCAACGAGATATCAGCTGAAGTTGAAGTATGGACAGGCCACGAGGACAGTGTCTTTATTTAATGATGGAAATAATTAAAAATGCATTCTATTTCAAACGACAGCCTGGGAAAGGAAATGGGCAGCAAAGAAAAGTCCAAAGTTAAAAGAACAGCAGTGCACATCTAAAATCTATAAATGCTGCCCCCTAGTGGTGAACTTCTTAGTCCAATGTTAACTAAAAAAAAAGTACCTTTTAAAATGAAAAAACACATTTCAAAGAGAAACAAGCACTAGCTCAACAAAAAATGACTCAATATTATCAAAGTTATATGAATCTCTATCTCAGACTCACACAAGAGTGCAGAAACAGCTTGTTTAGCATCAAGGGAAATGTAATTAGTCCATCTTGTTATACAGAAATAGAGAGAAACTTCACTTTGAGTAGAAAGAAAGAAACATGGGACCACCTCACAGCTACAGACAGATCATCGCCCAGCTGTAAAATCCAGTTCTCACTGAACTAATTCAACAAATTTGGGGGGATAATTACAAAAAAGAGGGTTTACGGCCACCGTCAGCTTACACCATCGTTCTCCTGATTGACTGCTCCCTTTAAACTAAAGGTTTGAACAGCAACAACTGTGTCTCAGATTATCATATGAAGACCATCAGAGCTCAGTGACATCATACAGAGCCAAGAGGGGAAAAAAACAGCTGAAACAACACGTTAGGCTTACTGGGATTGTTTGTCCCGCTGAGACTGAACACATGACAGAGAATAAGTAAAAGAATAATCGCTCTCTTTTAAAGGTAGGTTTTGCAATTACCTTCTGCAAATTTTAATAATGACCTTCACCACCAGGGGGCGGTGTTTGACCAGTTGAAGTTGAGCTGATTTCTCTTCAGTCCACAGACGTTCACGTGAAGTCATTGCTGTGGTTTCTTTACATTTTGTTGAAAGCTGAAACGTAATATGAAGGTTTATACATATTTTAAACACAGTAATGTATATTAAGGACCTTAAAATGTATAAACTGAGGCTATAATTAATTGTTACTTCTACTTGTGCACTGTTTCTACTTAAAATTAAAGTGAAAGATTATTTCTGGCTAGGACCACAGTAAAGCGCTCAAAAAGGAGCCAGCGCTTCTCAACAAACAAGCCAGGTTTGGTGGACACGTGTCTGGGTTAGAAGAGACCTCGAGCAGACTGAAGACAAGCTGGAGAGATGATGTCTCTTTGCTGACCCGGGAACACCTCAGTATCCCCTCTGAGGAGCTGGAGGAGGGGGTTGGAGGCTGATAAGCAGCAGACGATGGAGTGATTTATTGTCTGAGTGTCTGTTTCATCTTCTTAAGTTCATCTTTTGTTTCTGATGGCTCTGTTTGTTTTGTCTTTCTTCCAGATGATGATCATCATGGCCATTGTAGGTGTTATATTTGTTGGCGTCATTGTCTGTGAGTAAAATAAAGCCTTCTCTTATTTTTGCATGTGGTTTCTTGGCCTCCTTATGTGCACCTGTGGAGCATTTCCAGTTTGGAGGTTCAGCTTCCTGGAAGCTTCTGC